TCGAACCAACAGGGCAGCTGTGCCGGAATAGTTCTGCACGGCCCAAGCGGTACGAAATTGGAATACGCGCTACGCTTCGAGTTCGCGGCATCTAACAATGAAGCAGAGTACGAGGCGTTGATAGCTGGACAAGCCATAGCCAGAGAAGTAAAAGCAAAGCACATTGTTATCTGCAGCGACTCCCAGCTCGTGGTTAACCAGGTCACCGACGAGTATGAAGCTCGAGAGCCAACCATGATTGCCTACTCGACCAAAGTTAGAAAGGCCTTGCTCGACTTCCAGTCACATTTCATCAGACAAATCCCTAGGTCGGAGAACGCTGAGGCCGACGCCCTGTCCAAGTTAGCCAGCACTAGCGACATCACCATGAGAACCGTGTACATAGAGGACCTGTCTTGGCCTAGCATTCTCAGGAGGGCAGAGGAGGTCGCTCCCGTCGTTCAAGCAGAGCCGAGCTGGATTGACCCGCTCGCGAGCTTCTTGCTATACGGGACCCTCCCTGCAGATCGCAATGTGGCCAGAAGGGTGCAGCGCCAGGCAGCCAAATACGTCATGATAGACAAGTGGCTGTACAGGAGATCCTACACAATCCCCTATCTGCGTTGCTTGCAGCCTACCGAAGCCGAACTCGTACTCCGCGACACTCATGAGGGGTTGTGCGGCGGGCACTTGGGGGTTCTTCCTCTTTCCTGTGTAACCTGCACTCTTAGCCTTCGTTCTCCTTTTGCTTATTGCACACAATACTAACTTAAGCATCGGAGCGTTCCCGCCGGGAAACCCCCCGGGAGTTCTTCCTCTTTCCTCTCGTCTCAGGTACCTCTCAGGAGTCACGCGAGCGCCAGTTAGGAGTGACCGGATTGCGCTACATCAAATAACATTACAAGATTCTCATGTTGTATCATCCCATTTCCTAGGGGTGCAAATGGATCGAATCATCTGATCCGAGATCAAATTATATTTGGTCGAATTCGGATCATTTTTCTTCGGATCGGATCAGATAATAGGATCCGATCAAAAATTGGATCTGATTTGGATCACCCCTACCCAGTCCGAGAAAATCCAATTTGATATATATATATATATATATGTTATTTATTTATAAATATATTTTTATAAAATTGTTATATTATTTATTTTTTATAAAAAAACATGTATATATGATGAAAATAGTTAAAAAATACTTGTATTTTTGGTTTTTTATTTTATTCAAATTAGTATATTTTATTTTTCTTTGAATAATTTATCAATTTTTAAAGAAAACAAGTTGGATCGAATCAGATCTGAAGATTTGACTTACCAATAGGATTCAAATTAAAATATTGTCCTATTGGATTGGATCTGACATGAATAATGCCGGATTGGGTTCAAATATACCTTGATTCGAATCCAATCTAATCTGTTTGCATCCCTACCGTTTCCTCCTTAAATGAGGCCCAGAAATTGATCCGAAACTTGGTCCCTAGATCCAATTAGTCTTTTAGATTCTTTACTCCATTTGAAAGAGGAAGAGGCCTAGGGAGTTGGTTCTCCAATAATGTGTGGCCCAGGCCCAAAATTTTTTGGGCGGTGCATGTAGGGCTGTCGATGGGCTGGTTTTGGATTGGACCCCATCCACACCAAAATCAATTCGGTTGAATTGAATCAACCAACAAGATATATTGAATTGGACCAGTTCAAACTTAATGGTTCAAAGTATTTATTAGATTGGATTGGACATGGTCCATCCATAATGAATTTATATTGGGTTGGGTTGGATTGAGCCAATATCTAATCCATTGATAGAAAATTATAGGTGTTAATTCACCAGGTTTGGGTTAAAATTAATTTAAATTAAAACAAATTTGAACAAATTGGATGGTCCAAACATTGAATTAGACCAGTCCAAAATAATCCAAAATATACATTGGATTGAATTCAACCTGGTCTATTTGTAATGAAATCACATTGGAGTGAATTGGATTGGACCAAATCCAGTCCAATTGACACCCCTATGTGCATGTAGCGTCCGAATGGAGGCTGTCCAGCATTGGACTTGGATCTCCTCTTCCCTCTCATAATTTGTTGTTGGACTAGATACGAGTTAACTGTTTGCCACATGATAAGCTTAACTATTTTTAGTTTCAGTTGCGCTGCAGGCTGCAGCTAAGGATGTAAAACCAAGGCTTGAAGCCTCAACTCCCATCTTTTACCATTTGACACAACAATTTATGGATACATAGTCATCTCACTAGGGTTTTGAAAATATGTTTGATGATTAGTCTAAGGGAGGTTTTCTTTCCATTCTTGGTAATCCTTGTTGTTTTATCTTTCCAGTTGAAAAGGGGAAATTAAAGGATGTTCTCTAGAATATCTAGATCATTTTGCTTGAATCTTCTTCATATTTCCATTTGAAAATGTTCTTTAGAATCCAGTTCAAATTATCGTCTTCCTAGAACAAGTGTTACTAGGATACTTGTAGGGATGGCAAATGGGTGGATTGGGTTGGGTTGGGAAAGGGTTGAATATCAACCTATCCATATTGACCCACCAACCCACCATGATCCATTATCAATCATTGTTAAAGGGTTATAACCCACCCTAACCCTAGCTTACCCTGACCCATCTGTATTGACCCTTAACCACCCTCACCCATACTAACCCACCTACCCTCACTTATAAATACAAAAATGGGTTGGTACGGCCAGTATATCCAAAATAATAAATTTTGAGAGAATAATCCCTCTCAAGACTACCACGTGACAAAAATGAGTCAGATCAATCCGTATACTCGAAAATGCAAAAAATTGTAGATAAATGCAGAAAATAGTAGAAAATTTGCAGAAAATACTAAAAAATTGTAGAAATTATAAAAAAAAACTAAAAAATTACAAAAAATTCAGAACTTTTGCTGAAAAAATAAAAAAAAAAGCAAAAAATACCAGAAAATTGTAGGAAATGCATGAAAAACACCAAAAAATGCAAAAATTGTGTAGAAAAGTACAAAAAATTGCAAAAAATGCATAACTTTTATAAGTGGTTTCGTAAAAGTGCTTTCACAAAAATACTTTTATGAAAGTATTTCTACAAAAGTACTTCTATAAAATTGCTTTCACAAAAGTAATTTTGTAAAAGTGCTTTTGTGTAAAAGTACTTTTGTAAAAGTGTTTTTGTAAAAGTGCTTTTATGCTTTCATAAAAGTGTTTTTGTAAAAGTACTTTAATAAAAGTGCTTTCATGTAAAAGTATTTTTGTAAAAGTGCTTTCATAAAAGTACTTATATAAAACTGCTTTTATGCTTTCATAAAAGTACTTCTATAAAACTGCTTTTATGCTTTCATAAAGTGTTTTTGTAAAAGTATTTTCATAAAGTTCTTTCATGTAAAAGTGCTTTTATAAAAGTACTTTCGTAAAAATGCTTTTGTGTAAAAGTACTTTAATAAAAGTGATTTCATGTAAAAATACTTTTATAAGTGTTTTCGTGTAAAAGTACTTTTTAAAAGTCCTTTTCATGTTATAAAATTGCATGTGAACATGAAAGTTAATAAAATCTATTTTATTTCATTTTTAATCTCAAAATGAAATGTGGCATAGTGGTTTGGAAATGTAATGAGATATGGGCATGCTAGGAGGCCTAAATTCGAATAATTGCAATTCCTATTTTTTGAGATTTGACGAGTATAGATAGAGTTGGCTTTGGCCAAATCCATCTTGACTCGCGCGGCCCAACTCATCTTGACCCTAATGGGTACCATTGACCCTTTTCCATTGACCCTAATGGGTTACTCGACCCATATTGACCCACTGATAGATTGGGTGGGTCAAACGGGYTAGGGTCAATATTGCTAGCCCCAGATACTTGAATGTTAGTACATTTAGGACTAGCAGTGCTGAGTTGCCGATATTTGACACAACCACACATGAAGAGCCATAAGCCGCAATTGCAGCTTGAGGGACGTAGGTAATTGCAGCTTGAGGGACGCAGGTAGGAATGGCAATGGGGCAAGTTTGGGGCAGGGATCATATTCTCCTTCGTTGGTCCTGATTTTGAAATTAACCCCATCCCCGTCTCCGATTCCCGTTGGAATAAAATTTCTCCTCCATCCCCGATCCCCGATGGGGATGGGTTCCCTGCTGGGACCCGAATCCCCAAAATATTTTTAGATAACAATATTTTTTTGAAAAAAAATTTACTTAAAATAAATAAAAATGTTAAATTATAAATAATGTTATATATAAAACCGGGGTCAGGGCAGGGTGGGGGAAGTCGGGGATGGGGAAAATTGTCATCCCTAGATGTAAGGGTGTCAATTAGACTGGATTTGATCCATTCCGATCCAATGCAATGCGAGTCCTTTGCAAATGGACCAGGTTCAATCCAATCCAATGAATATTTTAGACCAATCCAATTCAATATTTGGACAATTGGACCATCCAATCTATTCAAATTCGTTTTAATTTAGATTGATTTCAACTTTCAACCCAAATTCATTCCATTGATTCTTATCATATATCAATGACCAGACATTGGCTTAATCCAACCCAATCTAATATAAATTTATTAAGAATGGACCAGGTCCAATCCAATTTAATAAATATTTTGGACTAGATCGGTCCAATCGATTGTCTTGTTGGTCCGTCCAATCCGTTCAAATTAATTTTGTCCAAAACCGATCCTTGGACACCCTTAGCCCTTAGAGGGACTGACTTGAAAATTCCTAATCTATCCAAGGGGCCATTGCTTCTATGGTGAAAATGCCAAATAGCCAATGGTGCATGGGCAATGGCTATGAGCCCAGATCTGCACTGCTTGGTGCCTGCCACGCTATGTGTAGTGAACTGGTGATTGTTTTCCTACTTCCTACCCTGTTCTTTTTTCCATTATTCACGTAAAAATATTTTCTTGGGCAATTATTTTTGTTCCTTTAAAACCTTGAAATTCCACTTTTCAGCTTCAAGTGGAATTGGGAAAAATGTAAGGTGGAACTTGTCACGTTGGAAAACAAAGAAAAACAACTGAGCACGAAAACCAAAAGAATTAGGAGTGGAATACTTTTTTTATCCGTATCATTATTGTTCTGTAACAACCAATATAATGAAATAGATACATCATACAGACCGGAAGGAGCCCATTATTTCCAAAGAGAAACAAATAACCCAAACAAATCCCCCTCCCTCTCCATCTCAAGACTTGGCCAACTTCACCACCATATACAGAAATAGATACATCTTTAGATAAACACTGAAAATGGAATTAAAGGCCTTTACATGAGCAACCCCTCCACTATACCTGATTTATCCTCTACATTCTAGTCTACTTTCGATCAATCTATACTCAACATATACATTCCGCAGCTGCACTACTGACAGCGCCAGCTTCAGGAGCTTCAATTGAAAACAATGATGGAAAGAAAAATTCCAATAAACTGCCAGCCAATGAGGTGATGAATTACTTCCCAAAGAATCAATCTGTCATGGAGTCTACTTACTAATGTAAGAACCTTTAACATGGGGCATTTCCTTCTGACATAAGCAATCTGGCAAAGGGTTCACATAAAATGCTTCTTCTGATCGGAACCTATCCATACCCTTCGTTCCTGAGATGGGGCCCTTTCTCTTACGCGGGGATCCTTGACTGCCAAATACATAATAAATTTACACCCAAATTAGAAAAGTTCCATGTACAAACAGATCTGAAACAAATTCTATATTTCTACTACACAAGCTGTGCATGTCCATTCCATAGGCCCTAGACAGTCAGGTTGGGGGAGGGGAGGGCGGGGGGGGGGCGCATAAAAAATATCAAGTTGACCTTTGAGGCACTGACCCAATGAACTCATGCACCAAAAACATTTTAGATTCCACTGTATCAAAAAGTAGAGTAATATGCTCTCATTCCATTCTTTGTAATCATGAAAAATAGTGTTATATTTGGTAATTCTTACCGTCTTTTGTGGATTTCAACTATTTGATCAGAAAGACTTTTGCCTTCTTTTAGTGAACCCCTTTCAACTTTATCAAATAGCCGAACAAGTGCTTTCCTGGAAAAAAGAATAGGCAAGAATTCAACAAAGTTGCAACCTCTTGAAAGACTGATTAAACACCGAAGTTTATTCAATCCCTCTCTCCCAAGAAAAATGCCTTGCCTGTCTGGAGAAATTGTTTTCCTGTGTCCCAGATAACGACGATGACCTTCAACTGCCCTTGCCATGTTACCAGAATAGGAAGGGATAAAAACATCACTTTCAACTGATACAATGTAGTCCAGTGCAGCCATTTGAGATGCATGACCCATGAAAGGTTCAAGCTCATGCATGGATGCTAGTTTTTCCTGGTGAAACATTTAGAAGTGAACAAATAAGCTTGCCATCAAAAGCAGCCAATAACGTAACTTGAATTATGCTTTTCCCACCTATGATACTGAAATTTGTTAAGAGAACATTAGAACTTTTCCCAAGTCGAATTGCTACATGACTGTTATATGATAAAGTCATATCTCAACTTAAGTAAAATACAATCCAAAAACATATGTACAGCTGTTGGCCTGTTGGCAACATAAAGGAGCTGTGGGATGGGTGGTTAGAATTACACCACTGGCAACAGAAGACAGTTTTACCCATTTGAACATTTTTCAAAACATAATTATCTTTGACATTTATGATTTTTATTCCTGCAAAAATTAGAATGAGCTGCCCTTTAGTCATAATAGCAAACCCTTCATCAACATATTTCCTCCAAATCTTAGATCTGGTGAGCTCAAATTAGATTCACTTCTCACCTTCCATGGGGAATTTTAGACACTTCAAATATTTGTATGAACAGGTAAGCACATGGGCATGCACAAAATGTAACAACAGGAAAAGAACGAGTGTCGGAAAAAGTAGAGATGTATAAACCAGCTACAGAACCATCTAACAACGAAGAGGAAAAAAGAACCACAATCCACAAGTTACAAAAAATTAGAAGTTCCGCCAGTACGTAAACAAATACGAGCTTGCCTATGAAAGCAGAAGATTTAGAGATGAGAACCTAGAACATAAAGGAGAAATAACTACATATTTTTTCATCTAGGCTGTAGTTGACACCTAAACTCATTGTGAGATCTTGCAATTTCTTTTAAGTCAAAGTTATCTGGGGGAGGGAAAAAGGAAGTTACATATCAACATAAACATAACAGTTAAATACAAAAATGTCAACCACTCAGAGCATGACTGTTGACCCCACACAAATCTCAAATCTTACAATACAGCCCAAAACAAGTTTTCCCCGAGGGTCCCCTGCCTTACCAAATTGTCAGCCACAGCATTGGCTGATTTCCTTACCAATTTGAACATTACTCCCACTTCCCTAGCTAAGCAAAGTATTTCCCTCACCTGTTGTCTAAGGGTCCATACACCCAAGCTTTTTGTCTGCAGCCATCCTATTAGAAGTTTAGAGTCTCTCTCTACCTCAAGGTTTTGATATCCCCATTGCTTGGCTGATCTCATACCTTGGAGTAGAGACATAACTTCTGCCCTTAAGGAATCTCCCACACCTATTGGATCAGAATAAAGTTCTTGCATCCTGTCCTCCCCATCCCTGAACACTCCCCCAACTCCAGAGGGCCCCGGGTTGCCCAATGAGCTTCCATCAAAATTCAATTATATTCTTTGTTGTGCTGCAGGTGTCCAAAGGGGCTGAACCACACTTTGTGCAACTGAAGAGTTCGCCACTACTGACCATCCCCTTAGGATAKCCTCAGCTGAGAAAATTTTGAACATTTCAGTTGCTTCCATCCAATGTATTACCCTAACAACCATGGAGTCAATGACTTGCTCCTTAGTTCTTTCCACTCCTTGGAATATCCTGTTATTCCCCTCTTCCCATAACAAACCAAACATGAAAAATTCAAGTCTTTTTGAAGAGGCCCTAAAACCAGGGTTTGGAACTGGAGTGTTTTTGTGTAACCACTTGAAAAATTTAACAGTTCATGCACCTAAAACTCCCAGTCTAAGCACATTCAAACAATAATACCTTGGGAGATCCTGTCTCCTATCTGTCTTTAGCATAGAGGCATCTACAACTATCAAGAACTAAAAATTGGTCAGATCTTTGTTTAACAAACTTCCAAATGCATTTATTAGATGATTTATATGCAACACACTTTCTTTTCATCAATTTATACTTGACAGTTCTAGATGTCAATTTTTTAATCAAGCTGTTTAGATTACCCATCCATATGATACAGAAGCATGGATTTTAGGCCTAAGAAGCTTCCTTTACATGTTTTGGGTGTTCACAATGATTTAAGGCACAGACCCACATATGGCCATGGTTTGGAATCTTCCCCACACAACCCAACAAGCATCACAATAGAAAACTGAGAATCACAGACAAATTGAAAAACTTAAGTTCAAACTCTTGAAGATCACCATCATCATGATAATTTGTTAATTGGAACAAAATGAAACCTAGATCCAAAGAAAACAAAACCAATTAAAAGTTCATACCTTGCTCATTAAAATAGGAAACCGGGACCGAAGCTCAGACATTTTAGAATCACCCCCATATATGTCCCCTGCAGCAATATATATAGGTGTGTTTGAAGGGTATCCTAGAGCAGTTAGGAACATTCCAACCTCCTTTGGAGTTAATGGACAATATCCCTTGTTCCTCTGTTCAATGGGATCTATATCTTTCACCTTCCAATAAGCAGTGTTCTCTCTGCAAGAGAAGTATAACAATAATTAGGGAAGGAAGCATCAGGTTTTAGGATCAGCAATTCAGCACAATCAGAAAAGATGCATGTTTTCCAAAGAAATGCTTCTCAGAAGAATATATAACTAGTTGACTTTCAGTAAATGCCCTCATAGAAATATCTCCCACCTGATTGTGGTTAGTTCATCTGCTTCGGCAGGAGACAAACCATGTGTACATCCACTAAAAGCAAGCATGTCTTTCTCATAACGTAAATGCAAAGCAATATAAGGACCATAAGACCTCATCCTCTCTACCAACAACTGCAAAGCAATGCATAGGAAACTTCAATTACAATAATTTTACAAACTACAGTAATCACAAATAAGAAAAAAAAGTAGTTTAGCAATTACTTTTCCCATTGCCTCAATCCGAGGGGCAAAACGAAGGGCCTTATAACAAGCACGGCAACGCAGCTTCTGAATGTCCACAGGTAGATTATTATTTGCGAGGCGAGAGTCAGATTTAGCTGTTCGAATAACCTAAAAAATGGTTTAATTAAATAAGACTAGATTGTTTATATAAATCTTTTTTTATAAGATTGTTTATATAAATCAAGTAATTCTAGTCAAGCAAATGAATGAAAATACCTGATATTCTTCCCACATGTGAGCAATCTCATCCTGGTAGTAGTCTATACCTGACCAGCTTTTAAAGTGCTTAACTGCCCGAGTAGCGGTTGTCAGATCCTTTGGAAGTTTTTTTATTACTTTAACATCATTAGCCAAGGCACTTATAAAATGATCTTCATCAAAGACATCAGAGAAATTGCTGCCATTTAAACAATTAAAATACTTTAACTTGTTAACCATGCATCACTAAGGAAAAAGAAAAAATTGCTATGACAACCTCTACCTAGAATCTTGCCAAAATGAACGTTTATCAAGTTCTGGAATAACAAGAGTGGCATTAATGATACGGGCCACAGCTACCATGTCACAAATCTGCAGCGCAAGTAAAAAATTCATTTCAGCTATGGAAAATGGACATATGTACCACCACCAAAAAACTAACATAGGATACTAAGGTACCAAGGTGCAGATATGATTCCTTATCAAATCGATAATGCATAATAATGACCATTGGTGGAGGGGAGCAGGAAACAGGATTTCATTTATCCAACCCCCTAAGTTGGAATAAGGCATTGTTGGGTTGAATTCCCCATTCTATTCAAAAATGTTTTTTTTTTCCCTTTCCCCCTGATCTTTTCCTTCTAATGACATAATTGTGGAGTCATTTGGAGTTTGGACAAACTATCCACCTGCACCGAAACTATTGGCTTGACAGTTTTCATTTTGGTGATTAACATGGTACCATACACCTAGGCCTAGTGTTATGGTTGTAGCCCCCATAAAACCGAAATAAAAGAGGTACAATAGTTGTCATTTGTCAATAGGACCAGATGATCCAGATCAATAGTCGCAGAATGTTGGTGTCTCCTACAGTACCCAAGATGAAAAGTTCTAGTTCAACAAGACAAGTACCAACTGCCAATCACTCTTTCTATGGATCTATGGCCAAATTATAGCAAGATTTAACACCCCATTTGACAAATTTAAGCAATGTAAGCATTCATTATGTGCGTCCCATAAGGAACCATTTTTTTAGTTATATGATCTAGTCTGATTTGATTTATCAACGTCTTATTTTGAAGGAAAACAATTTTTATCTATTGATAAGTACCAAATTTGCATATTTTTTCAACAAATTTTTGTGGATGGCAAATTAGAACAATGATGATGGATTTTTTTTGGTAGAACAACAATGATGACGGATGGGTTAATGGGACATTTACAAATTACAATGTGTAATTTAAGCAAGATATTTTGTTCTGTATGGTATAGATAAGCACAATTATTGGATTATATTTTTCTAGTGTGCATTTACAGATTGACCTTTGTAAGCATTAAAAATAGTTACTTCTTAACACATTTGGTGTATATCTAGTGTACATTTAAAGATTGACCTTATGTAAGCATTAAAAATAGTTACTCCTTACACATTTGGTGCATATCTTAGTTTATCTTAATCATACTGATACCAAAAACAAAAATGGGTTATCTGTTAGTCAGAATAAAAAATATCATAAATATTCCTAGCAGAACCTGTCATCTCATATGTACTGAGCAAACACAGAGAAGATGGCATTAAAACTGCAACATGCACTTAATTTCCTAGTTGATATTTAGAAAGTTACATCAACCTTCACTAGTAATACTTGCTATCCCACACCTTTAGAGCAAGATTAAGCAGTCAAAAAGGTCATTTAAGCTAGCTATAACAAGAATCTAGCTTCACATTGATATGTCAGGAAAAGTCTTTGACCTTTATTAACAAGAATAGATTGAATAGAACTAAATATAAAACTCTCTTTATATAAAGTTCAATTTAGGCAGGAAACATGGCGGCATAGAAAAAAGGTTCAAGCCTAAGTCACCAAGGGATGAATTTTATTACATGGAAAATGAAAGAATTAAAAATATTAAATTTCTTTAGTACTATTCGTCTAATTGTTGAATTGCTACATCAGTCATTTCATTGTTATAACAAGCATGACACAAGCACAATTTTCCTTTCCAATAAACACACAAGGCTAAAACATGCTGAAATTTATTTACCACACCACTTTTCCTGACAAACCACCCAGAATACAAAATAGATAGTAAGGCTAGATTGGACTCATAGAGATCCTGGAAATAATAGAACCTTTGTGTAGAAGAGGTGGAAACAATGATACTAACCCCAGCCCGCATCTGGTTGAGTCCACCATTGGTATTAACAAGCAAGTAACCACGCGACTCTGAAGGAGCTGATAAAAATAGATATATAATAAGGAAAATTTGTTCAATAATTGCTTATATTGAAAGATTTAAAAGTAATTCCGAACTCTACTTGTCTCACATGAATACAATGGACTAGGCTCATCACAGGGCACAAAATCACGAGAGCGAGGAGGTTTCCACAACTTGTTGAAATCCAAAATTCCCCTCGAACCATCCAACTGTCAAGTCTAAGGGAGTGAAAACATGAAAGATCCATAACTACTTTGCGCTAACAAATATTATCTAAAACTAAAATATTTGATCCACAGAATACTGGCATTAGATTAACTGCCTCCAAGTCTTTAAACATTTTTTAAGGAAAAGGTAGAGGATCAATGCTCAGACATTACAATTATAAATCAATTGAAAAGATTAATTAAAACACAAAAACCTTAGTTAAGGGGGGAGGAGCTTTCGACAACTGGGGCGGAGAGAACTCTTGTGTCCAACTTAACTCATTGGTCAACCTGTTGTAACTGATTTCATGTTGCTGCAAAACGAAACAACCCCATATAAGCATACAATCTCATCTCACATTCCCAATCACCAATATTGCAGAAATATTAAACATTTGATGAATAACTCGAAACCCAAAAAAAAAAGGAAAAAGAATACCAGATTAGTCATCAAAGCGATGAATTAAATTCCAAAGCACACTAATTTCACGCAACTAATACAGAAATTATAAAATAAAWGATAAAAAGGAAGACTTGTTGGTAGAGAATTGAAAATAAAATTCTTCAAGCTGATCTTTAATGGCCATCTCTATTATTCCGAAAATAAAAAAAAGGGAAAATTAAGAACAAAATAACAGCAAAGCCTGATACAGATAAAAACGATTTTCTCGAAATCTAAAATCAGGAAACCGAGATAACAGATTGTACCAAAAACAGAACATAAAAATCACAGGAGCCGCCAAGAAACTGAAAACCCTAACCAGGATTCTCAGAAATGCCACAAGAAAGCCATATGAAATAAAAAGATAAAGAAATAATGAATGAAATGATGCAAAAAGAAAATTGCATACTTGTGATGCAGAAAGAAAAGGGGTGAGAAATATTTAGACGGTTACCGCGGGGAGCTTGTAAGAGTCGGAAACAGATGGGAGCTTGGCCGAAGGAAAGACGTGTAAGTGTACAGAGAGCAGAGCCAGAAGAGCTATAGCACAAATGGCGTACGTTAACGCAGTCCGCAGCAAAACCAGAGGTATAAACCTCCGCTTATGCATCTCTCTATTTTGTTTCCTCTTACAACCTCTACAACGAAGCAACAGAACAATCGCAGACAACCATTTTAGCTCTACAAGTTTCTATCTCTCCATCTGTAAGATTCAAGACAAGCTTGCTTCTGCTCACTGTTATTCTTGTTAGTTGTTCCTGGCTTCCAGCCTTCGCTTTTTCGCTCGTTGCATAAATAAATAAATAAATAAATAAAAGGTTAAGATCTTGTGAGTTCTGAATTTCACAATAAAATATAAAAAATAAAATAAAAACAAAGGAGATGGATGGGAGGAGTGGGGCCCGGAGAGATGGAGAGAAACGAGGATACAATTACGCTACATTTATCATCAACACCCCTCCACGTCCTTCCCCACTCCACTCGTTTCGGCCAAATATTTCCGTATATCACATGTACAGCATATGCCCATCAATCTCGAGTCGTGGACCGTCCAGACAAATCCCTTTTGAGATTGAGAATCTACCACCTTTCCATTTGAAGATAGGATAGGAAACCATAACCAGTTACCCTGTACGTCTTTTTCTTCTTGAGCAAAATTGATCACATGGTTATGATCTTGTGATTGGTGCAATTTTTGTGAAACAGGGGCCAACTGTAAATGGATTTAATTCCATTCTGAGGGATATGGGCATGCATGTGCGCTGCGGTCGATAGAGATGGTCAGCGGGTCATCCCAAATCCCAATAATGATGATTTGGTGTTTTTTTTGGACCAAACCGTCCAAGGGATTGTTACGTATTTCTGTCAAATGTTGCAAGAAACACTACTATTTTCTCCAAATAAACGTGAGATTCTCCAATCTCAGAAGGATTAAAAGAGAATGGAGCATGCATGGATCCAATCTGAGCAGCGTTAACTAATTAAGGGTCTGTTCGGTTTACAGTTAGAATTAGAATCCAAATCCTCTGGAATTAGAATAGGAATGATCTATTGGTTCAAATAAAAATGGGAAAGAGAACTAGAATAAACAAGAATAAGATTTTATTCCTCAGAGAGAGGCCCTTAAATAAGAAAATGTCATTCCAACAGAACTAAAAATAGAATTTCAATTTCACCCAACCAAACAGTTGGAATCAAAATATCCAATTCCAGACCCTTTTTCTCATGAATCAAACGGAGTCTAAATATTATGGATTAATCCATGTTTTCTAAAACAAATCCCAACCGGGCCTACCTAGACTCCAGTGTACTAGATCACAATACAATCTAATTTCAATTTAATATCTGAATTTTCTTCTCTTCAGGCAAAATTAAGGAAATGTAATCAGCCTGGGTTCATGATTCAGGGAAGAAGTCCCAAATAGTATTCCTTGCTTCAGCAAACTTTCACCTCTCTCTCGTGATCTTTTCCTTCTTGCCACCTGTATGGAATATATGCCCCGTTCAAAGGAAATCTCAGTCACGATTAAAATGAGTGAAAAGGGAAAAGATAAAAAAAAAGTGGGCCGAGGAGAAGTTTATGGCACAGCTTTCAGCTCATCTTGTTGGAAGCGAAGCGATTCTTTTAGAGCATTGAGGAACGGGACCCATGTGCATTCCCTTCTTCTTTTACGAACTGCGACGTGCATGGGCCCCCTCTCCATAAGACCATAACAACATAACGCGTAGTTTACATACGTCTTGCCGTCCGGACGAGGGTTCTGAATTCTGATCAATTCAAAGAGAATAGAGAAAGAGAGATGAAATCTCAAATCCGGAGGAGGTGTTTGGTCACTGCCATTATATCATATTAATTCATGCAAATCCAAACAATGGGCTGGCTGTGCCCAGTACAAATACGATCCATGGACGGATGGAGTAAAGAACTTGTCTGTCTTTTATTGGCTCGGTCTTTACTAATCTGACTAGGGAATGTTCATTACTGCATTATGTGACACCTTCCATGACGCTCATGACCGCTTTTTTCTCGCTTTCTCTCTGGAGTCTGGTCCACATTTGTACATGGCTAACAAATTCGATTAATGAAACTTGGAAGTGCTCCATCTGGGAGAGGGAAGTGACAGGAAGATGCCACCTGGCAAGCAGAGGGTCAGATGAAGTTAAAGTCTCAGACTTAAATTCTTCTCTACAAGTTTGTTCATAAAGGGTCGGCTTTGGTAAATACCAAACGTGGCAAGTGGCATACCGGCGTGCACCACATTTCTTTACTCTAATCAAATAGTAAGCATGGCTTTAATCATTTATCTTTTCTTTTTTCAAGGAGACAAGCTGCTTGTCTTTTTGAGTACGGTGTGTGGTCTGCGTTCCGCTGCCTTCAGCAAGAGACGGAAGAAGAACAAGTCCACACGCAACGCTCGCCAATCTCGAGCTCCTGATGAGTTGACCACAATTCAGATGGGAAAGTTATAGTGATTTGAAGTTGCTATTGATTTGTGACTCCGTAATTCTCTGTAAAATTTATACACAAATTCCGATTTCCGAGATTTTAAGCGTTTCAATTCTCAAACCTGCATTTCTTTCCGCCGTGATGGCAGGGAGTAGCTGGGAAGGCAGGGCCCCCTTAGACTGTTGTTCAGAATTCATCACCCGGCACCGTCACGAAGTGGGCTGTCGGTGGAAACATTTTCACATATCGTAAAGTAGCGGTCTAACACTAGTTTTTGTCTGCTCGTTTGTATTTTGTTAGTTGGTATTTATTACTAGACTAGACGTGAACGCAGGAGAGCACAARAATTTAATTACCATCTGAAATCAAAATTGGTGTACGTATACGCCGTATATTTGGAGTTCACATATGCATCCCACAACACATCCTCGCCGTACATTGGAAATCTCTTCATGATGACATCATCTATTCTATAAAAGTGCTCGCCCCACAACACATCACATATCGTAAGTAGCGGTAATAAAAATACTTTTATATGATTTCATAAAAATACTTTTTATAAAAATGCTTGCTTAAAAATTGAAAAAAAATAAAAGACAAAATAGTCACAAATCCTTATTTAAGTGCTTATTAAAAAAAATACTACTAAACACCCAATATGAAAAAATTAAGTGTCAAATACAAACAAATGAATGCTTATTCGAAGAAGTACTTATTTTTAACATAAGCACTCTCAAACATGACCTAAGTTGTAAAACAGCCTAATTACCAAAGCCCACATAAGACGCCTATACCTTCTACCACAAGTGCAATGGCTTCAAGCAGCCTTATCGACCTTTGTCATGGACAGCCTTGAACATGACGCATAGGCCAGTCTGCCTCAATGTAAATATTATAATAGTAAATAGATTGATATTAGTTCATTTAGAGTTGGAATCAAATTCCAATTCCGATTCAAAGCACCTATTCCAGGAAACCAAGCGACCCTAAAAATGTCCATCTTTCTTTCTAAGTGGTCGCAGATACGGAATTTCTTTCGTCCTTCGTGGCTCCTCATTCAAATCCAATGGTCCAGATACCTTCGCATAAAACTTGAGAGATCGGCTTCTATCAGGGCAAAGCTGTGCCCACACCTTTCCACCCTTGCATTGAGAATATCTCCTCGTAAAATAAAGCATACAAGTATGCTTTTATGGAGATATTCTCAATGCAAGGCAGTAAAGGGTGCTCGAACCGGCTCCACTGAAGCAGAACTCAAAACTTGAGATAATAGCCTTTTTCCTTTATTATGGGAGGTGAGACACGTTCCCCATGCTCTTGGACTATTCCCTTGGCAAATAACCCCTTTAGTAATTAACTCGTTTCAAACAGAATGGATGAGTAAACTGGCTACACTTGCCACACAAGGAGATGATACCATGAATGCCGGGACCCTTTTGGGCTGGCTATCTCAGCTCTCCATGTGTAGAGTACTTTCTCCTTATCTTCCACATTGACTAACCATTAGAGGAACTGCCCCGAGGTGGAAAAAATCATTTTTCTCATTGATTACTCAGTTTCTTTTACAAGGTACATATAAATCAGTTCTACTTTCTTACACCACTTGCCCGTTAAAATCAAATTATGCAGCATAATGCTCCATAGACAAATTGACACAGAGAAAGGAACATACCCTGCAAAACATCAACAGCCATCTGAAACAACAACAAGAAAACTGATGAAAGAATGGGTTTGCCCAATATGTAATAACCATGAGCACACCCTTCCCCAATAAATATTCCCCTCTAAATTGCTCACTAGAATAAATTCATTGGTTTGTTTTTTCTCTCAAAACTGGTTCAGTGAGCTATCACTGCTTGTTTTTCCTCTAGGGCATTGACGAAAATGGAGCCCTGGCAGTTATGTACCAGGACTCCCATCAAATTAACAAATACTGGGATTCCAGAAGACCACTACCTTAATTAAGTATAGACCTTCATGGATCTCCCTATGTTTCAACTATTTATCCTTGAAGTTAAAACAATCTGCAACATCAAAAATGTTGGCTAGCTGGCGGACACTAGATTGCACCACTTCAGAGTTAGAAGAGACAGACTCAGGAAGATGTGGTAGGCAATTGGGCCGACATTGATCACAATTACCATCTAAAGAATGACAGAAGAGGAATAGAACAGACCTGCAGAATATAAACCTGAAGACAGGGCATCAACTAAACAGATGTACAGAGAATTCACTGACAATTATAAATACTGCTAAAAGGTTTTATTTTCCATATAATTATGTAATGTTTGGAAAATCATTACATATAGAGGAATATTATGGCTGAGATGGCTGCCAGCATGGTTCGTTTTGTTTTTGAAAACAAAAACTTTTCATGTGAGCAAAAAAATATAATTTTTCTGATGCGAAGTTGTTTTTGTTTTCAAAAATAAAACCAACCATGTCAAAAATCCCCTTAGTAAATTCAGGTTTGTCGGTAAGCATAACCATGTCCATTTGGACACCCACGTATTAAGACCTAATCATAACATTAACACATTCAAATAAGTACAAGAACTTTCGCGAGATATTGGAGTTCCCCAAACTCACCAGTCAGAACTGGAGGAAAGATGGGCTTCTTGGTTGTTTCTTTTTTGTTGTTTATTCCTTCAACAGCTCTCTCTCTCTCAAACATGCAACATATATAATGTAATTCTACAAAATGTTTACATCTTTTTTCTCTTTCCATATGGAGTACTTTAAGGCTATCATGTATTCTAATTTTCTGATTCTTGTTATTTTGTTATGTCAAGCAATGATTATTCCATCCTACCAGATTTTCATCATTGGTTTATGCTTTATACTTAGAATAGATGTAGCCTTTATTCACATCTACTATTCCATCCTTTCTTTGTCCTAAATTTGTCGAAAACATTTTTAGCCATTTCCAGCTGTTTCTGTTTTATATTGTGGTGTGTGGGTAGGTGGGGGGGGGGGGGAAAGGGCCCCAGTGTTCTTTATTTCCTTTAAGTAGTGTTTAAAAGTTATGTTTCTTAGTTATGGGTCTTATGGGCCTTCTCTTATTTTCTTTAATTATTTCTTTAGTGCTGGCCGCCCCATTAAGGGCATCCAAGTAATTGTACTCAGACTTAGAATTATTAATAAAAGTGATGAAAGGGGGCTAGAGAGAGAGGTTCAAATTCTTCTTTTCTCTCTTCCCTTCTTCTCTTCTTCCACAACCTAATGCTGGAACTTCTTTTCTTCTTTTCTTGCATTATCTGAATTACTGTAGGTGTAATTTTCAACAGGTAACAAGCACTGCTTACCCACCTTGACCACCTAATAACCAAACAATGGTGAATGCAGAAAAGACTAGTAGAATAAAGAGATAAATACCTGAGAATAAGCCGCCGTAGAAATGCATCAGATAATACTTGAGCCCAGACCAGATCTAGGTCAGTCGTTGTACAGAGCATCTCTTCCCATTCCGAGAAGGCAGTGCAAAGTATGTTGTCAGCTTTACTATAGACATCCTGGAAGCAAACCCACACAGGAATTAGACCAGGCAAATCTGTGGATATGGTTCATAGGAAATACCACATGGCCCAAGCCAACTTACAGTACTTTCACCACATTGGGAGAGGCCAAGCAGTTGGCAGAAAGCTTGCAAAGGAGCAGTGAGGAAAAATGTAAATTGACTACCATTCTGTGTTAGATCAGCACCAGATTGGTTCCGAAATACTGGCCTTGAAGGAGAAAGAAGCAAGGCAGCTCTTTCCCCCCTTTCTTCACCATGAATAACCTGAAAATGATTCATATATAAGCGACTTTCAGAAAAACAAAAAGCCACTGGTGGAATGGTGTACAAATAAAATGTAGCAGCTTTAAATGCTAAACAATGATCAGGTTGAAAATTGATTATTCAAAAACCTAAACTATTGGAAATCTTACCTTCATACCCAGTTTGCCCTTCCACACTGCCAGTACACCTTCCACACCCTCCTTTTTTATCTTTTCAAGTGGGGTGAGGAGGGGATTCCTACTTTTCTTCTCTAAAAAATTATCTTTGATTGTTGGTTTAAAAAAAAAAGTTGCATATTTGTGGAAAATATGAGCATGAAAAAATAAGTAACAAATGAGGTCAAGCAGACTAAGATGGTTTGGATATTTGTATAGAATCCAGCCTATTTAATGCAACTCGAAGGGTCTAAAAATAGGGAAAGGCCAGAAGGACATGGGAGGAGGTAGTGAGGAAAGATTTGAGGGTTCACAATTTAACACTGGGCATGGACCTTGATAGAATGATAAGGCAAAAAAGCATTCATGTGGCCAGCCATGTTTAATTGTTTTAAGACTTCGTTGAATTGAGTAAGTCTCCACATTGAATGTCTCATTTAATTGAACCCACAGGAGTGGAAATTCTTCCACTGATTCTCTTGCAAAATAAAGGACCTGTAGAAGTTACTTATACTGGGGATCTTCATTGGGAAGTAGACAGCTATAGATCCAATATCTTTTGGTGTTTTTCCTTGTATGTAATTACGACCTGCTAACTGAATGCAGCCACAGCCAAGCAGATCAATTTTTCTTAATTTGCAATTAAATTTCCGAACTGTTAAACCATATACTGGGAGTAAGGATTAGCTGAATGCAATAGATGTTCAATGGGTTGCGGAACCAATGATAACTCTCCATGCCAGTAATAAAATGCATGGGACCCACAACCATTTTATTTCTCACTGTGTACCTCATGTATTTTATCACTGCCATGGGGCATTACCATTGGTTCCACAGCCTTCTGAACAGCTATCACATTCAGCTAATCCGAATTCTATTGGAAGTGGGTTCATCAGTAGGCCATTAGAGAAACTCTAAAATCTGGAATATTCTAAACGTCAAAAACCATACTTCAATGGTTAATATAAAGTGTTAGATTTTGGGACACAATTAATAACTGTTGAAAAATGATGGAAGAACTAAAATGTGCATGTATGTACCTTAACTTTCAGAATACCAATATAATTTATCTTAATATTTATTAATAATATAAATTTTAACAATCAATTCTAGCATTGATTGACAAATATCCACTAAGAATAGAGAAGCTTACTTAAAAATAAAAAACAAATGAGTATAGCAAGCAAATGGGGTATGGCCTAGTGGTGAACTTATGGAGTAGGGTTCAAATACTCCTATTGTCAATGGATTGTCTAGTTACGGAGTAATTAACGAAATTAATGAGAGAGGTAGGGATTAAAGAGAGACAATAAAAATTAGGCACAAGAATCCAAATTCAAATTTGAAAACATGCCTTAAATCATTAATAAATGAGACAGAAAGAGAGAGAGAGAGAGAGAGAGAGAGAGAGAAATGACTTAAATATAGGAGCAATTAATGAAATTAATAAGAGGAATCCAAATTCAAATTTGAAAAGCAAAGTAAAGTATTGGTCAATATGCTTATAATATCAACCTGTATCGGGCTTGTATCATCCCAATACATACGAAAAGGAATGCAACAGGTGATTTCTACACATTCCATGTATCAGGCTTTTGTTGGAATGATATGTATTGTCTTGCAATATAGAAATTGTTGCAACTTGAGACAGGTTAACCTGAGCCGAACGCAAAAAGGTCGGTTGAATTAGGTTAGGTTTATATATACAAACACATAAACACACACACACACACACCCCAAAATAATCCTAGCTTTTAGGCTTAGAATAATTGGTGGATATACAGTGCATACTTGACAAAGAAAGCGGGAAGTCAAACCCAAACAAGGAACCTATCTATGTTTTAGACCCAAGACATGTTATTTTATGTTGGCTGCAACTTACAGAAACCGTTGCTAAGGCACCAAACAATTAGGACTTGGGAAGTCCCTGTAGCTGTAGATAGAAAAAAAAAATATTTCAATTTTGCCACCATTTGGGTAAGGCAGATCAAGGTCTATGCTTCTAAGCTAGAGATTGAAGGTGTCTTACTTGATCAACAAACTGAAATTRTTGGAGCTTTTATGAGCCATTTTAAATCGATATTTAGGAAGCCCCTTAGTGAAAAAAAAAAACTAAGTCTAGAAGGGTTGGATTGGCCAAGGATATCATGTGACAAAAAGTTAAGGTTAGAAAGGAGGTTTGATCTAGAGGAAATAAAGGAAGCGATTTTCTCAATTGATAGAGATGAAGCACCAAGACCAGATGGATTTACAATGGCTTTTTACCAAGACTTTTGGGACATCCTAAAAGAGGAAATTCTATGGGTATTCAATAAATTCTTGAGTAGAGGGGTAATAAATCTAGGGTTAAATTCAACATTCAATGCTTTGATTCCGAAAAAAGTCAGGGCAACTCATCCTAAGGATTTTAGACCCATCAGTCTGATCAATAACTTGTATTAAAATCATAACAAAGGTATTGTCTCGGAGAATCAAATCAATGCTACATTATATTATCTCTCCAAACCGAGGAGCTTTTGTTAAGGACATGCCAATCATTGATCAAATTCTCATTGCCAATGAGAGTGTGGAGGAGATGAAAAGAAATGGAAAGAAAGGAATAGTCTATAAGCTTGACGTAGAGAAAGTATATGATTTGGTGGACTGGGACTTTTTGTTGGAAGTGATGAAAAATAGGTTTGGAGGAAAGTGGTGTAAGTGGATTCAAGGATGCATAACTACATGTCACTATTAAATAATTGGTTAATGGTGCAGTTGTGGACCGCTTTCTATCTTTCAAAGGAATTAGACAAGGGACCCCCTTTCCCCTTTTTATTCACCCTAGTAGCTTATGTGCTAGGTATCCTAATCCAAAGAGCATATTTGAGGGGTCTGGTGAAAGGGTGGAGAGTGGGTAGGGAAAGAATGCCTATTACGCACCTATTAAGAAATATAAAAAGGGTGATCCAAGAGTTAGAGAAGATGTCAAATCTGAAAATTAATTTCAGTAAGAGCTATGTGGTGGGGATTAATATGGATGGAAGAGAGGTGACAGAATGTGCAACCATTTGGGGTGTGAAGTTTCCCAGTGACCAATGAATTATTTGGGATTACCTCTAGGGGGAAACCCAAGAAATATGATGTTCTGGAACCCGGAGGTGGACAAGTTTACAAAAAAATTAGCCTCTTGGAAAAGGAATTACCTCTCTTTAGGTGAAGACTAACTCTTACCAAGTCAACTCTAGCCAACTTACCTATCTACTTTCTTTCGGTTTTCAAGATTCCTATGAGGATTTGTAAAAGCTCAGAGAAGTTAATGAGACTTTTGTGGGAGACCGGGGAGGAAAGGAAGGACCATAGGGTTAGATGACAATTGGTAAGTAGAAGTAAGGAGTTTGGTGGCTTAGGGATTGGGAACATCCAAAAGAGGAATTCGATGTTGTTAGGGAAATGGTTATGGAGATTACCAAGGGACAAGGACAAACTGTGGACAAAGGTGATTATAAGCATCCATGGGCTGGCAACTGACGGTTGGGATGTCGGAGTTTTGGCTCGAGCTACTAGTGCGACACCTTGGAAAGCTATTCATGTCATCCTTCCTCACTTTCTACCCTTTGTTCGGTACAATATGTGTTTTGGGATTTTGGTAAGATTTTAGGAACATGTGTGGGTGGGGGATTCACTACTCAAAGATCAATTTCCTTCATTATATTCTTTATCCAGTTAACAAAAAATGAGTTTGTTTCTACCTTTTTATCCTTGTTTTCTTTAGGGCCTAAACTAAATTGGGACTTGGGGTTTAGACAAGGATTCAAAGACTCCCCCAACAAGTCTACAAAGCCTCTTTAACTCTTTTGTTGGTAGCTGGACAAAAAAGAGAGGAAGAATATTGTGTTGATGTACAAGAGCAGCAGTTTCTTGGACAGTTAGGGAGGAAGGAAACCAAAGAATCTTTGTTGAAAAAGAGAAGCAAAGAGGCAATCATACAAGTGATCACTTATAGGGTGGTGCACTAGGTAAAAAAGTGGAGATGTTCAAGGACATTCATACAGAGACATTGCTAAACAAATGGAAGGAAGTGGGAGCATCTGTTCCAAGCAAAAGTGTTGCTCAACCTCTATGGTTTCCACCTTGTGGAGGTGTTGTTAAGCTAAACTTTGATGGAAGTGATGAAGGTAACCCTGGTCCATCAGGGATTGGTGGAGTTTTTAGGATGGAGGAAGGTTCAGTCACAACTTTGTTCCCATGCCCAATTAGTATGGGGTACTCATTGCGTGCAAAAATTATGGCTTCGATAGAAGGTATGAAAAGGGCTAAGGAATTAAGTGTTAACAAGCTGATCATTGAAAGAGATTCTAAAATGGTAATAGGTTGGTTAGGGAAGGAAGGTGATGGATTGTGGGCATACATTAATGAACGAAGACACTTCACACGGCTAACTCAGGGTATGGAGGTGAGAGTGAAATGGGTAAAAAGATGTGCTAATTCATTTGCAAATGCACTTGCTAAACAAGGGGTGGGAAGGAATCAGTTACTTTGGGCTACCTTGTAATGTTGTAACTTATTCGGGGAGTTAAGAAAGTTTACCTCCCCCACCTTTGTAATTGATTATTTCTTATTAATGAAAAGTTACTGTCATTGATAAAAAAAATGCAACTCAGGTTCCAAAATAGCCTTTTTATGCATTTTCCTTCTTTTTTTTTATTGGAAAGAGTAACTTTCATTAAACCAACAAAACGAGCATAAAATGTCAACCACTCACAGCATGAGTGTTGACCCCATATTTTATCACAAGATTTACAACACATCCAAAAAAGATTCTCCCTTTGAGTACCCTGCTTTGCCAAAGTATCAGCCACACCATTGGCTGATCTCCTTGTCCAATTAAAGAGTACTCCAGCCTCCCTTGCTAAGCAAAAAAAAAATCTCCCTCATCTGCTATCTAAAAGTCCACACCCCCAAACTTTTTTTTTGATAAATAAAATAAAATCATCCTCCATTATTTCAAAGATTGGTTACATGAAAATCCCCTTAGAGGGCCTATCCAAACAGCAAATACATAAACTACAACAGATACTACATGAATGTTGATGTTAAACATGAATTACAGTTGCGCCTAGAACAATGATTCCCTATTTGTCCCTTGTTTTGCCAAGAAATCGACAAATGCATTAGCTGATCTCCCAACCCACTGTACTATTATAGACATATTTTTTGTCAGTCATTTGAATTTCGTTAACTCATTTTTGTAGCCCCAAGTGACATCCTTTGGATTATTTAACCAATCCACCATTGTCTTAGGATCCCCTTCAATCAAAAGCTGCTCCACGCCCACTTCTTTTGCAAGAAGTATTCCTTGTATTGCAGCTAATAACTCTTCCCGGATAGAATTCCCAACACCTAAAGGGCCAGAGTAGAGTAAGACAACCTCTCCAGCATCATTCCTTAGTACACCTCCCATCCCAGAGGGACCTGAGTTACCCTGGCTACTCCCATCAAAATTCGGTTTCAAAGAACTAAGCAGGGGGGGGGGGGACCCAGCTAGTCAATACCCTTACCTTGGAGGAGGAATAGCTTGCTACCAACATCCAATCCTTCCAACAATCAGTAAAAGAGAAATGGTTAAACAATTCAAGAGTCTTTAACCAATGTATTGACCTGTGCATAATGCAGTCCTTTAAGGTTTGACTGCTCCTTCCTTTTTCTTGGAAGATCCTAACATTCTTTTCTTCCCATGCTGTCCATAACAATGCTGCTCGCATGCACCTCCACATTTTCCTTCCTCTTTTATGGGGCCAAGAGAAAAAAGAAGGGTTAAAGATTGTGCTTACTTCTATTGGCATATCCCAACTACACCCAAACAAAGATAGAAGCCAAACCCAGGGCTATGCAATTACACTACAGGATAAAAATAGATGATTACAATCCTCACCTTGAGATATGCAAAGAATGCACTAGTTTGGTGAAATATAAAGGACAGGTCTTCTCTTTTGTAAGTTATCCATTGTGTTTACTTTACCAATGCCACACTTCCCAACACAAAGCCATAACCTTGGGGGGGGGGGGGACGGGCCTAAACCAGACTTCTTTGGAAGGGAAACTTTGTTGAGAGGATGTTTGGCAAAGGACATTGAAAAAGGAGCCACAAGAAAATGACCCATCCATTGGGGTGAATGGCCCAAATCCTTTTATTAGGCTTCGAAGGATCCAGCCAAACCTTATCAAGGAGACAAAGAAGAGTAGACAAACAATCAATTTCCTCATCCCTTAACCCTCTACGGAAACCAAAATCCTAAGACAACACTGAAAAATTTAAAATCGACAGAAGGAATTTTGAGATCACCTCTTTTTATACAAAGAAACAGAGTACAAGGATGGAAAAAGGTCTTTTAGAGGGATATCTCCAGCCCAAATGTCCTCCCAAAACCGAATGGAATTACCAAAACAAGCATCATACCTGACACAATTGAGGAACTATGGAAGAATATTGTGAATTGCTTTCCATGGTGTAGCTAGGTTAGCCCCCCTTGACACGCCAACATCCCAACCTCTCTGAACATCCACGAATACTCTTCACCACTTCGTGCTAGAGTCTTTCTCGCTCCAAAGGCCACCTCCACAACCACTTCCCTTACAAATCCGAGTTCTTTTCAAGCACATTCTCGAGCCCTAATCCTCCTTCCTCTTTGCTTCTACCCATGACCCCCAACTAATTAAGTGATCTTTTTTACCTTCTCCCAGTTCCCAAAATAAAATCTCTCATCAATTTTTCTAGTTTCTTCGCTTCCCTAGACAGTATCCTAAAGACAGAGAGGTAATAAGTAGGTAGATTCATGAGGGTAGCTTTTATCAAAGTGATCCTCCCACCCAAAGAGATATAATTTTTCTTCCACACAGCTAATCTCTTTTCGATCTTCTCCAAGACTAGGGTCCAAAACCTACTCTCCCTAGGGTTTGCCCCTAATAGAAGCCCTAAGTAAGACAAAGGCCAGGAAGAAATGGAAAACTCAAGGCAATCTGCAACCGCCTCAACCTCCCCAAAGTCTAGATTGACTCCGGCCATGCAGCTCTTTCCTAGATTGATTTTCAAATTGAAAACTCCTTCAAAAGCTCTAATCAATTCTTTTAGGTTTTCCACCTTCTCACCGAAGCCTCCATCACAGAAGATCATCAAGTCATCTACAAACTGAAGGTGAGTTACTGGAATTCGGCTTGTGCCTACTCTCCATCTCCTTATCACATCTTCCCTATCAGCCCTAGAGATAATTCGACTGAACACATTTTTGTCTGTAGCCATCCAATTAACAGCTTAGAGTCTCCCTCCACCTCATAGTTTTGAAATCTTCATTGCTTGCCCAGCCTCAATCCTTGAAGTAAGGCCATAATCTCAGCTCTTAATGAATCTCCAACACGTATTGGGCCAGAGTAATAGTGTTATCAGCCTGCCCTCTCCATCTTTGAATACTCCTTGAACTCCCTGCCAAATCCTCCTTCCACTAAAAACTAGGACTTTTAATTGGTAAATATAGACATTAACAACATAAATGCCATTTTTATCATTTTTAATGGTAAGTGGTAAGCACTATTTTACATTACAAAGCAACAAGATTAGGATCATGTTAGTCTAGGATAAACCAAAGTAGTCTATAAAGTCAAAACAAGTTTTGACAAACCTGCCTTGAATGCATGGCTGTTATCACTATCAATGATCAGGAAAAGTGGCTTTCTAGTAAAAGGAATAATATCACCAGGGTAAAGCATATTTGAACCTGTAAGTCAGAACAATATCTTAGTAAGAGAGTCCAATAAGTAGCATATAAACCATATTATATCCTTTCACACAAATAGGATAGATTAACACATAGAAAAGACTCAAAATGCATATAATTATCATTACTAGATTTAAAGGAATTAAGTAGATCAGTTTCAAGGACTCCTAACTGTAAAAAGAAACATTGCGATGTAGGTAGGGGTGAGCATTATTCGGTTAAAACCGAAAAACCGAACCAAAAATTTTGGTTTCGATTTTGGTTTTCATAATTAAGATTTCGGTTAACCAAAAAAGCCGAATTAACCAAAATTCATCATATAATATGTAATATATAATATATAACATATAATATATATATATGTTAATGAAATTAGGTTTTAACCAAAATAACCGAAACCGGGGTTCAGTTTCGGTTTTTATTTTTTTCTTTCAATTTTTAAAATTTCGGTTTATTCAGTTTGGTTTTTAACTGAATGCTCACCCCTAGATGTAGGTTACCTGCACTTCCTCTGGGACCCAACCACAAATAATTCCCAGAACAGTCAGTTGAGTCTCCTTTGTCACAGTTAGGAACTTCAGGCAGTGATTTCTCATGTTCATGGGTGCGAAATTTCATATCCAAGGAGGCCATTGAAGTTCTGGAAGCTTTGGTTTGAGAAGCAACAGTCCGACCAAACTTCCCTACATAAATGATCAGCAGAGTAACTACTTCGTAATGATTAGACAATTTTTGGCATACCAATGGGCTAGCAAGTAAAAAAGAAAGGTTAACCTGATCCTGATAGATATATTAGCACAATGATCAGCAGAGTAACTACTTCGTAATGATTACACAATTTTTGGCATACCAACGGGCTAGCAAGTAAAGAAGAAAGGTTAACCTGATCCTGATAGATATATTAGCACAATGCTATCTGGGGGGAGCTCCTCACATACCATGGCAATAGCCTGCCCATACAGCATGTAACATTTTATCATACCTTGCAATTGTATTTAAATCACATAACAGAATAAACAGCTATCACAAAATGATGGTAGCTCAGAAAGAAAAAAATGAAAATTAGTATTACAAACTGTGCATGACCACAGTTTCATCACCAAGAAATAATATTTACTTCACATCATCACAAAATATGATTAAGGACCTCAATTTGTGAAGGTGGTCTCTAAAGATTCCACCTATACAAGATGACCTGGATTAACACAGAATCACTTATCAAAGTCAAAATTTAGTCTCAATGGACTCGCTAGATATGTTCATATGGGATTGTTTCTTGACAGGAGGAATTGTCATAGCGCCTTTATATCAGTAATGGGTTCACTATATTTTGGATGTAATGTTAAAATGGTTAAATCAGATCCCCCAGTGAATAATAATTTATTAATTTTATTAATGTAAAAAGAAGAAAAAGCCTAAGAATCCCAAAGTGTTTCTAATGAGAGACCTAATAATAACAGCACCACTCAAACTAAACAATCAAAATGTAGAACAAAATCTTGATTATATCATCCCATGCCTGTGATGTACAAGTAATAAACTTTTATTATTGGAACTTACAATTTAGTTAATTCTGAAAAAAGAATTATATATTACAAGATGATCATGAAGAACACCTCAAAATATATAGAACTGCCTATCCTTTCCCTCGCATCTATTTCATTTTTATTTCCAATTACATCTCCAGGTTTGTGATCCCCCAATACAACTGATTAAGATTTATTACAATATTTATATATTGGAAGTAGACTAAAACCACTTTTTATATATCTAAGTTTTACAGTATGTATTTTTATTCTTGACAAATCTCCAAAAAATAGAAAAAACCTGAAGATGTATGATGTAGTTCATGATTTTATTTGATTAAACCTTCAATGCAATTACAATTCTCAGTATTGACAAGAAGTCGTAACATGTTCCCTCAATAATGCCTCATCAACTAATGGCAAGTACTTGCATTACATGATGTCAATATCAGCATTTAAGAATTTAACCATCTCTACTAACATCAATGCCTTTCGATGCCCCCAATTGTGAATCCAATAGGAAGCAAGAGCCCCACTTACAGGTCCATCACCAACATGTTATCTCTAAGACTCCCAAATATCGAATTCACATCAAAGCGCCATCCATGGTGGTTAAGCTTCCCCAGTGCAGTATTATCAGTTTCTCTACTATAATATTCCAACAAGATTATCTTCCAATCTTTCAGAGAAAAGGAAAAGTATAGTATCTCAATTATTTTAGCCAAAATGTACCACTTCTTGTTCCAAAACTAAACAGATGCAGGGCTGAGGTTCTTATCAGAACCCTCAATACATTTTTTTCTAACTTGATCCAATGACACTTCTTCTTCAACCATGTCATAGATGATCACACTGGTCCATATCCTGCACTCACTCCCCAAAAAGTCATAAGAGGTCCTTGCTGATAAAAAAAAAAAAAAAAAAAAAGTCATACCAATCACAACCTGAAATGAAACCCTATCCTTTATCCTACCACTGCCAAACATGATTTTGTGGCTGTCTTAACAGAAGAAAAACGCTTCACATCTCTCTCTTAATCTATGCTACCCCAAGACATTAAGACTTGTCTATAGCCTCCGTTACTTTCTTATAACCCATCATTTTCCCAGGCAGTCTTATTCCTCCCTCCCCTCTCCCCCCTTCCTCTGCTCTCTAAGATCTTCAAGAAATTATTCCAATCATAATCTGTCCTTTCAACAAAATAAGCTTTGCCTTACCCCTAAACAATCTTAAGAACTGGTTGTCTCCATCTTCTGAAACCTAATTAACAGTTCTGAGCAGCTATATGAGCACCTACATCAAAGTAATTTACAAATTACAACCTTTGCACTCCTTTTGAAACCTAAACCACTCCACCTGAGATTCCTTAGAAACCTTCAATTTGAAAACTTCACTCCAATAATGATTGAATTTCCATCCATTCTTCAACTTCTACATAGTTCCTACAAAACCCTAAACTATACACTTCTATCTAGGAACCAACCAACTCTGAAACCCTGGAAAGCCCCATTCAAACCCCTCAATCTACACCAACAACACATCAACACCAATCCTAAACCATTTCTTAGATCTATCCCCATCTTCCTAGCCCCATTTGACCTTTAAACCATTTATTACCCTATCTCTCCAATAGAAGGTCGGTTATCCATCCTACTTCAATTATACAAAAAACTCTAGACTGAAGAGCTAAATGGAAAGAAAATAGGTAAAAAATAAAATTTCATAGCATAAAAACTTACTGCTAGCAATTGAGTTGTTGATGGACGATAGAGAATAGTTTTCTTTGGATTTGGGGGCAGGGTTCGATCAGTCATATCCACAGCAAGGTTTATATCAATAAGTCCAGAGGGTCCAGACCGATCATTCAAAGCACCATTATCACTTGATTCCACTAAACGCTCTTGGTAGAAAGAACCACTTGGTTCCCACTCCAAACATTGAAGCATTCTGAAAGTATTCAGAGTAAATTCTGTGAACTTGACCTGAAAGTGCCCCATGTAAGAAAGAGTCATACACATCACCACCTACACAGCTAAATCCTGTAGGACCAAAAATAGGATAAATCTTAATGGAATATCGTTCAACTTGGACATGATGAACCATTTTACCTCATTCCGGTGATAGCTTGTTAGCAATGCGTCTTGGAATTTCAGAACCCTGTTTGCATGGAAACGGGCCACATATGGTTGTGATGTTGGATGAGAATCATACAGAGCACAATATCTGAGAGGCCTGGTATTCATAAGGGTCACATCAACTTTCAGAAACCGAGCAATTTCTTGGACCACTTGCTTCCACTCTTTAAAATTAGTTTCCTGACAAAGCATGCATCAAAGAATCATTTCAAGGAATAAAAACAAGGGGATATATATTCAATTTGTGATTAATATGAATTAAAATAATAAGTTCATTTATCATCATACCATATAGTTTCCCCACATTAAGTGTCAACCAAAATATTAGCAGATTGAGGCACCTACTTGAATAGCTGTTTGATTGACTGCCTATTGTTTAAGCTTGTCTTACTAATGACCCATAAGCTCAAGTGGGGATGTCAATCGATCAGGTTAAATGGCAAAGCCAGCTTGACCTGATCCTATAGGGTCAGGTCTATTCAGGTGTAGGGCCAGGTTAGGGTTTTGATTCTTTAACCTGAGTTGGGTTCAGGTTTTGGCAGACCTAATTTGATAACTTCTAACTCCATAGCCTTAAAGTTTTAGGATTTCTTTTCATATTTATTTTGGTTTTTCTTCTTTCATTAATGGAGAAAGTGACACCTTAGAACCTAAAAACCAAATTCAAACTTAAATTAATGGATTTTAGGTTTTCAAGATGTGTTGTAAAAAAATACAATTGAAAGGCTGTGTACCAGGTTAGGTCGAGTTGATATTGGGTTGAACCCTATAGAGTCTGATTTGAGTGAAAACATTGGAAGGTTGGTTAGGGTTGATGCATACCTGTGCCAAACCCAACCTGTTGACATCCCTAAGCCCAAAGAATGTCCTCAGCAGTTTGCATCCAAACAATAACTGTTTGACAGTCTTCCTCCACATCTATATCCTTCCACCCTTGCATAGAGTGCTAGGGTTTCAGCTTTTAGGGCTATGCCTTGTCCAATTGGACCTGAGAAAGAGGCAGGTTTTCTTGTTTATAAATATAATCCTCATCCTCATAATCAAGACAAGTTTCCACATAGAACACATCAAGCCTTTCTCAAGATCCTTGGGTTTGGTGGACATTCTGATGCTGCTTCCAGCCCATGATGATCACCAATGAGGTTCAACAGTTGGTCCAGAAAACTATATAACTGCAATTTTCTTTAGCATTCTCCACAAAATAGGCTTGTCTGGGAAGTGTTCATATATATGTTATACTTGTATTTCCTCTCTGGTTAATTGATTCTGCTGCATTCAATCATATGATGGGGACATATGTTTTAATCAACTCCAAGTTCAAACAAGCATTTTCCCATGGTCCAGGTTCTAAATTCAATATATAGCCACAGGCTTGGGTTCTCAAGTCAGGCAACCTAGTCTGTCTGGTTTGGGTATCAAAATATTGACTAAGCTGGAATTTGCATTTTGTACAAAACATAATAATTTTGTTAGGCCAGTTTTAAGTTTATTACCTCAAAATGGAAGAGGAATGTATGTAAGATCATTAACCAAATTTAAATGACCAGAGCTAACTATTAGATGTTTCTCCATATATCATAGCCAATTCATGAAAGGTTGGAAGATGGTAAAATGCAATGGAATTAGCATTACTGTTTCAATAAATTTAATTCACCCAATGAGTATATCATTTATCACATCACTGTTTCAACTAAGGTGGATTTTGATACAGGGGAGAATTAGCATTTGATCTAGTTCATTCACTTCAAGTAACTTTTCACTTTCTATGAATCTGTCATCCCATTTAGTTTCTCATCCTTCTTCATAAGCTAAGTGTCCAGATCGATAAAAGAAATTTCCCATTTTGATTTCCTTATTCTTGCTCCAACAATTATCAGAAAAAAAAAGCACTCCTATTTTCAACATTGCTATAATTTTGCCAGTCGTTTATCTTGCTTGGAGGAGCCCTTTTAAGTTATTTTCTCATCAACCATCATATACCTCAAATACCATTAAAAAATAACTTATGCAACCTTGAATATCCAAGAGTATCGATTACAAACGCAACCATTTTATTGTCAAGTGAATAAGTGTGTCATCCAAAAAATGAACAAATAAATAAAGTATCATCCAAATTAAAATATTATCTAGAAACGTAACATAACACCTATACCAATTGATGAAGGGAAATTTGGCCCGACCTCGCAATCGCCCGACACGTGGCAAAGGCAAGCAACTCGGGACAATAGAGTGCCCGAAGCGAACATCGGAAGCAAGTCCAAGCTCACTACCGAGCCCGAACTCCAGACCGCTCTACTGAGTCCGAGCTCCCTAAGTAAGAACCCAAGCTCCCTAAATCCGAGCTCCCTATTAAGAACAAGCTCCCTACCGGGAGTCCGAGCTCCCTATTAAGAGCGAGCTCCCTGTTAAGGGTCCGAGCTCCCTAAGTAAGAACCCGAGCTCCCTATTAAGAGCAAGCTCCCTACCGGGAGTCCGAGATCCCTATTAAGAGCAAGCTCCCTACTGAGAACCCAAGCTCCCTGCAAGGAGCACGAACTATACTRGGCCCCAAGCCTCRCAAAGCTGAYCCGAGCTGGCCCATGGCAGCTCGGAACACTCCAAACCGAACTCAAGACACCTCGCTCGCCACTCCAACACTTC